TGTTAAAATCACACAATGGGAGGTTTTAGTAAAACAGGTTCAAATCCTCAGAGAGAAAGGCTCATGGTAGGTTAGTCATGGAATTTAAAAGTTTTCTTTTTACTAGTATTATGATGCATGCAATGCAACTATAAAGTTAAACACTATGTGACTTGTTGTAATGACTCATAGTGGTTTCCCAACAGTTTAAGGAAGTTATATGGTCTAATAAAGTTCTCAGAGCTGTTTCTCAGCAGCAACTGCCAGAGAGATAAGTAGGTTGACTCACAGGTCGGCTGCCGTGTGGTTGTGCTGCAGCGGTTGGCTGAAACTGGCCGGGGTCTCCACCTGCTCCGCGGCGCCGCTCTCATGCTCCTGTGTTAGCAGCTCAAACAGTGGTGAGCCCTGCAGAGACACAAACAGGATTATATATAAATATATTTACAATATCTTGCCGCCTCTTTCATGGCTTACATGTTTATTCAGAAAAACATTTACATTTTACACACCTAATTTCCTTTGCAAAAACACACCCGTCAAATTATAATAGGGGCTGCTGATATGTCTGTTCCTCATTGTATACACAATTTACCCAAGGACACTCCCTATAGCATCCTCTCTGATTTGACTGATAACCGAAAGAGCCTCTAAATACCAACATATCCAATCCTGCCTACACACTGTAAATATCCTCAACAATTCTCAAACAACATTTAACTCCAGATTAAATGACATACAGACCAGTGTAGTACTGGAATATCAGCATGTTTACACCAGGCCAAAACTCAGTGTTGAGATCATACAGGGCAGTGGGTGCGGTTTACTACTCAGCCATTTGCACAGCGGCTGCAGGTATAAACCTGTCGTTAGCACATTCTTTGTGTAGCACATGCCACACCTGGCTGTAGCGAATGACACATTTTGAAAGTACACTTGTATTCGATTGCTATGACAGCATGCATAGAGGTGTAGCGGATGCCAACACGGCAATGTTTATTTAGACGCGTTTATTTAAGTAGAATTTTAAGATTTGGGAGGTTGATCTAAACACACCTCTATCAGTCAAGAAGAAAATAATGCAGCACAACAATGTCAGACTACATATTCAAATGAGTGTAAAAACAAAGCAGTGATGGGAGGACTTTGACTCCAGTGGAGGCTCCTCCCTGTGTGTTTGAACAGTCCAGTAGATCAGAGCAGTCTGCTAAGAGGTTTCTGGTTTACAGTCTGGCCGGAGCAGAGTCAAACCTCTGGAACTCAAGAGGAACAAACACCATGCCCCGCGGGGCTGCTGCAGGAACTGACAGGAAACAAAAGAAGGGAAGAACCACTCGAATGCTCACGCCGTTGAGGAGAGGCACATGATTCTACTCTCACAGGGGATTAGAGCTGTGAGAGACTGGAAAACGTTCTGAACGAGGATTTCTGACTGCAGGACTCTTTCACTTTCAGAATATAAGGACTTTGGATACTAATACAGGTATTTTGAGGAGTTGCCGTATACTTTCTGGTATATAACATAACCACACAAGCTGAGCCTTCTTTAGTATTCAAGGACCGCCTTTCCTACCCAAATGAAGCGTAACGTTTCCCTGCCTAGAGCACATGGTTGGATTAAGAGACTGGATTTTTATGACTAACACAAGTAAACGATTGAGGAGCACATTTTAACTCTGTAAAAGTTACAACCCGGTATAAAAATGGATAACCACATCTTTACAACCACACCAAGCTCCGTTCACATTTTCATGAATTGCAGCAAGAATGACGGCTTCAAGTACCCACTGTACAGCTCGGTTTTCAGCGTGGTGTTTGTTGTTGGACTTATATTTAACATGGTGGCTATTTACATTTTTGGCTGTACACTGAAGCTGCGGAACGAGACCACGACCTACATGATAAACCTTGTAGTTTCAGACTTTCTCTTTGTCCTGAGCCTGCCTTTTCGGATTGTTTACTTCATTAGACGTGAGTGGATGTTTGGAAGCGTGCTCTGCAAGATCTCTGTGGCCCTGTTCTACACCAACATGTACGGCAGCATCCTCTTCCTCACCTGCATCAGTGTTGACCGCTTCCTGGCCATCGTGCACCCGTTCCGCTCCCAGGCAATTCGTACTAAGAGGAACGCCAAACTGGCATGCTGCACAGTGTGGGTGTTGGTTCTTTCTGGAAGCGTTCCCACTGGCTTTCTTTTGGCCACCACTTCACCCAAAAATGCCAACTCCTCTTCCAACTACTGCTTTGAAAACTACTCTGAAAATCAGTGGAAGGCGGAGCTATCCAAGGTGGTGGTGTTTATTGAGACTGTGGGCTTCATCATCCCATTGTTGCTCAATGTCTACTGCTCCATAATGGTGCTACGGACACTGAGGCAACCCCAAGTCCTCTCCCGCGGCGGGACCCTCAACAAGACAAAAATATTAAGGATGATCTGTGTGCATATTTTCATCTTCTGCTTCTGTTTCATTCCCTACAATATTAATCTCATATTCTACGCCATGGTCCGCTCCAAAGTCCTAAAGGGATGCAACGTAGAATCTGTGGTCAGAACCATCTACCCCATAGCGCTGTGCATAGCAGTGACCAACTGCTGCTTTGATCCAGTCATTTACTACTTCACTTCAGAGACCATTCAGAGCTCCATCAAACGCAAGTCCACAGTATGGCACAACGGTGCGAGGCTATTCGAGAGACTACAGATGGACAGCTCACAAAGCAGTCCAAACACAACACCCAAAAGCCTGGTCCTGCGGTCTCCGAGAACCGAAGAGTATCACAATGAGTCCACAGTCTGATGTCGACTCCATTATGGAACATGATAAATAATTAATTGATTGCTGGTGATTTCAATCTGAGGACGTAGGTGGAAGCAGAGTGACCTCAATAACAACACATCAACACAACGGTTACTAAGGAGTTACTCTCATCTACTTGACGCCACAGAGCAGAGACTTTAGACGTGGAGTTAAGACACTGATCCCTTTTGAGTCGATAGAAGAGTGGAACAAGTCAAGGAAGAACAGGAAGTGTGTCGCGGCATAGATACTCTTGTGTGGGCTACCAGTTCACAACACAAGTTTGAAAACAAGTGTGTATTAGTGGAAATGACATGTGTGTGTTTTAGCCATGGTAATGCGCACTGGGCTGAAAATAAGTTTCAGCTTTTGCACAGATGACATTGTAATTGTAGTCTTATTTCCCAGAGCAGACTCTCCTTTTTAAAAAGTCTGCTTTGGCAATGCTGAACAAGTATTACAACTCTTTTTGATGTACTGTACATTTTACAAGTATTTGTGGCCTGATTATGGCTTTGAACCACTTTATGGAGAATTGCGTCTATAGCAGCTTTTTCCCCATTCACTGAAAGCAAATAAAAGCGTTTTTAACTTAAAAGGCTTTGAGTTTGAAATTCGTAACCTGTTTGATAGTGTGGTGATATATTTGATAGTATCAGGGTATCAGTTTTTCATATGAAACACTTTGGGTGCAACCGAATGGTTTGTCGAGACTGATTAGTCATACAAGCACCAGCAACACAACCACAGGTGTACCGTACGCTATGAATGCACAATGACTCAATACGTTTGAAAATGTAGATTAGAGGTCAATATTTAACAGCTGCACATTGCACCGGCCAACACAGCTCTAACACTGCCAATGGCCTTATCTCAATAGGTGGTTATATCTGTAGACATGCTGGGATGATGACAAAACTTGAAGCCAAATTTGATGAGAATTATTTAAAAGATCTCAGCTAGACTGGCTACATATCGGACCATTATGTCTGTTGAAAACAGCTGAGAGAAAGTGGAATATGCTGCAGCTTGAATATTTGTTCATTCTTGGAGAAGCTGTGTGCTGCAAGACTGAGCATTGCTGCATTCCTCATGCTGCCTGAGGGTCTGCAGTGACAGGGGTAGACTCATCACACATCGCTGCTGTGGATTGTGAAACTTCAGCAGGCGAGCGACAACATGCCTCACGGGGAAGAAGTGCGTTTACAAAATAAGGCACGTTAATGGTTGCTGCAATCCTGAGAAAGATCTGGAAAATAACTCGGAATGTAAACTTAAAACTGGCATCTTAGAGAAAAGCAACCCGCACTTTATTAAGTTTTTCTTTGCTATGTTTGGGCTTTGTTGATTACATCACGTAAATAGACTTAATAAAGAAGCAGCTGGACCTTTTTCAATCATTATAAAAGCAATATTTTAGTGGATAACTGGTTTTAAAGCAGGGTAGGTCATTCAAATGAGGGTTGGTTTGATAATCACACAACCATGTTCCAGTTTCTCAATCAAGACATGTTGTCTTCCCCATATATTACTTGTACATTTCCATCTAAATGTGTCTGATAAGGACCAAGTGGTGTGTAGTTAAATGGTAATGTTTTTTATTAGCCTAATATTCACCAAATCAAGATTATTCAAACAGAGCCTAACATAGCTTTAAATACATTCAAATGTTGTAGTGGAAAATCTGATGTGAAAATGAAATAGAATCCCTCTTTACTCAGGTGCTAAGACTTGCATTTTGATTTGTTTGAGTAATTCAGACACACATTACATGAAAAGGCTATTATCCACTAACTCAGATCTACACACTGACTTGTTGATCCCTGCCAGACCCAAGGCTGACACACAGGACACACTTTCAGTAAATTATTGCTATTCCTTTTATCTGTACAGTTAATGATTACCTCCAATCAAGCGTGTATGTTTTTAACAAGAAGCCATAAACACGACACCCACCATGACAGTCATGAAACAACCTGTGCTTAATTGTAAGGCTGATCACAGAATTCAGTCAAATAAGAAAAGTCGTTTGTTGAAAATAACAAGTCTTTCCTCAAGCCAACTGTGTGATGAGTAATTTTAAAGCTCATAAAATGTTTTTATATTAGGTAAATAAAACAAACTACAAGACATGCGGCTAGGATAGGAGGGAGAGGAGAGGGAGAGGAGAGAGAGGGAGACCCTGACCTGTGAGTAGGTGTAGGCGTGAACTGCTCCCATCAGTAGCATGTGCACCGTTACAGCATCCTAACAAATGATCCAGCTGTCTACAAGAATCACTTCATGACTGCATGGATGCGACTTGATACTGGTGAGTTTATCTTCCAATATCCTTCTCAGTTTTATATGCAAAGACTAGTAATAGAAAATACTTCAATATTTCAATTTAATGAAATGAAAACAGCAATTTACTGTATAAACCTATCAAGATGTAGTAGAAACTTAACAGTTGAATCCACAAAAAGTATCTAATGGCAGAGAAAATGCAATGCTTGAGAATTTCTTCGGCTTTTAGGGCTAAGGAACCACCTAATAGGATTTGATCTTAGGACACAAAACAATTCTTAAAACAATATCAAGATCATTTCAACAGCTGGATACTCATCAGACACTCAGTGTGACAAGTGAAGGATTATACAGGAGTTGATTTCAGATCAATAATGCACATAAATATGAAGGGAGAAAAAGTGTTTTGAAAAAATATGTTTCTCAATTCCATGGGTCATAGAGAAAAGAAGTCTTGTCAAAATTGTTACTGATGATTATGTAATAATGAAAGTGATGATGGATGTTCATGGACTCAAAACAGTCTCACATTGTGTATTTGAAAATGTATTTTAATAATATTATTCTTCAGTCATCGGTATTGTTTAACAGAATAGTTATTTTGGGACTGGAGTGTTTATAGAATTACGTAAAATAATAGAGGACAAGGTACAAAAATATCCTGATGACGTTATGTATTCCAAACGCAGGAAAAAGAGGCATTTGTAAAGTTCTCACAATCATACTCTTACCAATAAAGACTAAAATATACTTAGCTGGATATTTGATAACGCATCGCAGACTAAAGCCTAGAACTGACTATCAAGTTAAATCAACAATCAACTTCACCAAATGTGATTTTACTGCCTGGGGAACAGTGTTAGATGGCGAGGTGATTCTTTTCCCCACCCCACTGCATCTAATGAAACTACATGTTTGCTTGTTTTATGAGCAGGAAGTTGCAGTCAAAACTTTATTGACAGTTAGACTATATCCTTGCATATGAAATATATATATATGTTAGCTGAAGCTGTGTATTCATGTCACCTCAACAAATTTACATTCCATAAAAAACAGCAGAGTTTAATAAGACTTTACGAGCCACAGGTTTAACTGCCATTAAACCTGTTCTTTTCACTCACTGTATGTTCACTTTAATTTGATTTCCTCCAGGTATACGAGTGACACTGCGTTAAGTGTGCTGGAAAAGTCAATCATTTTAAGACATGGACGTGTGGAATATGAGTGATGTGGCAGCCAAGCCTGTGTCCCCTCTGTCTAACTGCACGGTGGACACCAGCTACCGCTTCACCTTCTATCAGGTGTCCTACAGCATCATCTTCCTGCTGGGGTTGGTCACCAACAGCCTGGCTCTGCGCAGGCTGTGTCTGTCTCCCTGCACCATGAACAGCACAGCCATTTACATGGTCAGCCTCTCTGCTGCTGACATGTTTTTTGTAATCTCTCTGCCTCTGAGAATATTCTACTACCACCAGAGGGCCAGAGCCAAGACAGGAGACTCATCCAGTTGGACTTTTAGTGTGGCGTACTGCCACCTCACTTTCACCCTCAAATACATCAGCCTGTACGGGGGCATCTTCTTCCTGGTGTGCATTGCTGTGGACCGTTACTTTGCCGTAGTGCACCCGCTGGCCTCTACGCTCCGCAGGCTGCGTGTCGCACAGCTGGTGAGTGGGGGGATCTGGTGCCTGGTGCTGGGGCTCAGTGTGAGTCTGCCTCTGCTGCGCTTTGCAGCCGCTCACCAGCACCAGCCCTGTCTGCTGGACCCCTCCTCCCAACGCCACCGCAAAATCATCCTGGTAGCTCTGGGCCTAGTCTTGGGCTCATTTCTGCTGCCCGCTCTGCTTCTCCTCTGCAGCTACTGCAGGGTGCTGAGGGTGCTTCGCCATCCGAGACACCGCTCTCGCAGCCAGCGCCGAGGCCGCCAGCACACTCTCACCATCATTTACTGGGTGCTCGGCATCTTCCTGCTCTGCTTCGTCCCCTATCACATCAACCTCCTGGGATACACTCTCACACACGTGGGACTGCTGCCCTATTGTGGCCTGGCAAAGGTGACCAAGGCGGTGCACCCCGTGGTGCTTTCACTAGCAAGCTCCAATTGCTGCCTAAATCCACTCATCTACTATTTCTCCAGCAGCATGTTGCACAGGGAGGCGCCCGGGGGAGGCAGTGGCAGCCAGTGACACAGATCATTTCTATCATTATCTTAAAAGCACTCGATTATTCAATTGTCCAGGACTTCTTCTATTCTACTACTACAGCATCCTGTTGCTCCTACTGTGTCTGCAGTTCTTCAGAAGTTAAACTAAGATAACTCTGTGTGTGTTGAACATGTAGTCTGTATCATTGTAAGGCATTATAATGTTGAACAGGCTTGTGTGTTTGCTTTGGTGCCATGCTACTATAAGAAGCACAATGACAGCTTAGTTATTTTGTTTTGTGTACTCCGACAGTTTAATGTGCCTGTAACATATTGATATGCTATGACTTTTTTTTAATATATGTAGTGAATGTAACATGTTGCCTCATTTTCCAGAATGCTGCTCAAACCTTATAAAGTATGTTGATCTTGTAATTCTTAAAATGTAGTAATAATACTGTGGAAAAATAATTGTGGGTATTTTTTTCTTTGGCCAATAATGTTGTGTATGCATGAATCTCATTAACATCCTGAGAGATTATTTCTAGCATACTGTAGTGGTGATGAGAGATCAAACTCACCGGCCTCCATGCAATCCTCTCCATGATGAGGTTCTCGCTGGTCTCCAGATGTTTGACGATATCTTTGCTCAGAGTGGGCTCTGCCTTGATGAAACTCTCGATGACTTTGTAGAAGTCGAACGCAGAGAGGTTGACCACATCCAGGATCCAGGGGAAACACACGTTTGTTTCAACGGGGTCACCAGAGCCCCCATGGTTGTATCCTCCAGTCTTAAAACTGCTCTCTAATCATGAGAAGAAAACAACATTATTACAACTTGCTACAGATAACTGTAAGATGAAAGGAATTATATATTAAAGTTATTTCCCAATTAGTTAGAGAGAGGATCTGTTATAACTTGTAAGAAAATTACCTCCATAGGTTGCCATCACTACCTCCAAAGCGCAGGCGAGCAGTGATGTGTGGAACGTGGAGTCATTGAGGAGTTTACTGGAAGTAAAACCATTTGATTTAGCTCAAGGCAAATAACTCTTAAATGCTTATCTATTCTTCACCTCAAATAAAAATATATATAAAGCATGCATGAACAAGTAAATACAACGACTGATTTTTCATAATTGGGATTTAATAAAAACACATACCTGAAATTCTGCACGGAAAGTCGCTTCTCTTCCTATAAAATGGGAAGGGAACAAAACCAATAAGTTATTTCAGACATGTATAACGTCTACAGATCATGGTAGTTGCCTTCATTAAGATATTCTCTTAGCTCTTTAAAGCATAGGAAGTAAAAAAAGGCAAAAAAGTAATTGTTAGCAAATATAAAGTAGATTTATCAATTATGGATACCTAAGATACATTGCTTTGGGTTAAACCGGGAACTGCTACATTTAAACTTACCTAAGCGTTTCAAATAAATAAAAACAATGCAAATACAAAGTAAGTAAATAAAAAACAGTTGGAAACTTAATAAATCAAACAAATCAATTACCGATTTCAGCATCGCTTCCATGACTTTGTAATACAGTCTGACGCCGAGCTTAAATCTCTGAAAGAGGAAAGAATACACACAAGTCAGTGACAAGATTATTTAAGCACTGGAGTGTTGCCATTGTTGCTCATTGTCTTCTTCAGTGTTGGTTTATACCTGCAAACCGAGAACGACACAGCGCAGGCCGACAGCCTGGCCAAACCTCTGGCTGAACACCTGCCCGAGGGTCTCCAAACGCTTCAGCACGCCCTGCGTCGGGTCCACGGTGCAATTCTGGCAAAAATCATAATCACGATTATTTTGGTCAATAATTGATATCACGATTATTAAATACGATTATTCATTGACTTTGAAAACATCCATTTATTGAACTTTAAAACAAATACAAATAATAATTTGAACAGTATCTTTTTAACTGTTGATTACCCTGAACGTATAATTCAACTGAAAAACCAATACAAAAATAAATTAAATAAATGATACATTTATATTCACATTTAAATAAATAATATCAAAAATAATAAATACCAATAAACAAGATCAACAAATATTTTGGAGCGCACTCCAACAAGCTACTAAACATATGTAAATATGATAAATACAAATAAATTAGACTAAAATAAATTAGATCAAATATGTTGCAGTGCACTGTCACAACCGAGCAAAGCAAAATAATTGTTTTTTTCGATTATGTTGTTTTCGTAATTGTGGTAGGCCAAAATCATAATTGCGATTAAAATACGATTAATTGCACAGCCCTACTTTGAAATATGTAGCCAGGTTAGTGGATGGCTGATCTCCACTGGAGGTGAGGTCCCCTCTCAACTGCTGGATGGAGGTCATCGCAGCTCTGATGGGACAAAACACAAATCAGACAGTGCTGAAGGATGGAGATAAACCCAGAACAATGCACACAGTGAAATATGGGTAACAATCTTCATATGGCGCAAGAAATACCAGAACAATCTCAAATGTCCAACTTCAATATGTAGGAACATATACACATTAAACAATTAGGCTTTTAAAACATGTTTATAATATTTGCATATATCATGGTATACTCAAATATTTTTGTAAGCAACTATTTAAACCGTTGATTTTTATAATTTCGCATGAACTGTTACACACAGAGAAAACAGCTCTTCTCAATCCCTAACAATTATTGCCCTTGCACTTCAGGAACTTTGAAATGCACCAGTTGACCGCGAGCAGACAACAGTGTGTATAGACTTTAAGGTTTAAAACTGAAGAGATGATACAAAACAATTACATAAATAAATGAAAGATGTTGCTGAAAGTGAAGATGAGTACTCAGCCCTACTCCACTGAGATCACAGTAAAGGATTATTTCAAAAAGGAACATGTGAGCTCACCTGATTGGAGTTTGGGGAGGGATGAGTACGCCATCTTCATCTGGGAGGTTCTTCTTTGGCGTTCTTTCCACCTGTGATCTGAAAACAGGAGCCAATTATCAAACACGTTTCTTTAAACGATTTAAAGTGATGAACCAGACTCTGAATGATAATGGACATTACATCTCGACTTTAGGTGGCACAACAGTCTCATCTCTGTCAAAAAACAGCCGCCCATCGATGTCTCTGCTCTTGAGGTAGTGCTCTTCATATTGTTGGTTGATGTCATTTGCCTGTTGAAAGAAAAAGAAAAGGTTTACATTACTCTGCCATTCTTTTGAACGGTTCTGCAGAACGCAATGAATTGAAGAGAACTCCATTCAAAGTTATATTTTTGATAGTGTTAAATTGTTGCTGCATTATCCATGAGCTGTGCAGAAAACCACGACCTGCTGTATAAGACAATTCACTGTGGTAGAATTCCTAACTACTCTTTATTTTTGATTGTTATCTTGAGTTCCCCAAAAGCATTACATTTCATTACCTAAATGAATGTTACAAATGGAACATTTTAAAATAAAAGATAGGTCGGCAATCCTATAGATCAGCTAATGAGACAGAAACTGTCACAAGAAACCCCTGCACACAGTAGTTCTGTTGTAAACAGCCCGAAGACGGGCACAGCGGCATCATTACACCCATGCAAAATCACAACAATAATTTGGATGTAATCAAAGTTTGCCCCATAGGCGTAACTCCAGCCTCCCCTTTATACTCTTTTTGTCAATGTGCAAATCAGGCTGCAAACATCTGGAGTCCTCGTTGACCTCGTACAAAACTTGTCTGGAGATTTCAACTCTGTGAATCTCAAAAAGTAAACATCTAAAAAAAAAAGGGAATAGTCCAACTTGACTACAGAATGAACCTCATACACACCTGGCCCACCTTTCAATTTATTTTTCCAATAATCCAGAACTATCATAGATCAGATTGATAACAGGATATGATTATTTACATAAGCCTCTAAATATTGTGTGCCACCTGTTAGTTACTGGGGTAATGTACCAGTAGAATAAATATGTCTAGTAACCATGATAGGAGGAGTGTGTTGGTGTGAGTAAACAGTAGCATCCTGTCTCCTTTGTTTTACAGCAGCATTATATGACACTGAGACAATATGAAAGGATCCCCCGTTTGAGTACACATTTTCCTGACACTATGTATGAGAAACCAAACATGTATGAGCAGTAAATAGAACCACCACCAGCTGTCAGACACTTACACGTTCAACACAGCGAGAGGGATAAGAGATAACAAATAGAAACAGTACATGAAAAGCAATTGCCCCTACCTGAGGAAAATCTGGAGATCTGGAAAGATCCAGAGAGTCCAGGAAAGCTGAGAAACTGGTCTGGTATACATTCTTCACCTGGGGATAGATTTAGAATAAAAAGGGGCAAATGAGAATAAATACACACAGATCGAAGGGCAAAGAAAGAAATGTGCGTGATGACTGTAAGGACAATACAAAGAGGGGGACTCTGACCTCTTCTGCGTTGCATTCATTCTCTTCGCACAAGGTTTTGAGGAGCTGCAAATCCACCTCTGGCTCCGGAGGTCGGGTTTTGACTTTGCTCTGGTTGCGGCGAGATGTTCGTGTCGGAGGGCTCTGAACTTTGCTGATAGCCGATTCTGAGAGAAAAACATTGAAGGGCTTAGAAAATCCCTAGGTGCTGTAAGAAAACAAGTCCTTTCATATCACAGAATGTCCAAAGTACAGTTTATGTTTTCCATTTTCTATGGCCCAAAACCTTGAATAACAGAGATACTATTCTAAACAGATAAACTACTTAATTGTTAAACTATAGTATGATTTGCATATGCTTATAAGCAAACACCGAATTGATATCACATGTCCATCCTTGGTACTAAGAGGAGGGATAATTATTTGACGTTTTTCTTTTCCGACTTTAAGACCTGTTTGTACGATGAGAAGTCAGAACAGATTATGACAAAAGACAGAGGCTTAAGATGTGAATGAAGCTCACTGTAAAGAGGCTGCAGGAGGTCTGAAGGGCAACGCTTGATGAATAACTCCAGTGTACAAAGCAGCAGCTGGAACGATATGACCAGGTCATCCTCCATCTGCAAGGCTCTTCCTGGAAACAGCAGAGATGCAGCACATGAGAAGCTGCATCACAATACTACCACTACCAATGAAAACAGACAGTGAGGAGAAACATTTTCACTTGAGCTCTACGGCTGAGCACAGACAGGAAGGAAGGATGGAAAGGAGAAGATGGAACACTTTGAAAAGTATTAAGTGTGGTAACAGCTTGATGCTACTTGTTTTTGTTGTTGTTAATGTGTTAACCTACCTTTGGCCAAAAGGAACATTGTCCAGCAACTCCGCGTGGTCTCCCTCTCCCTTTGAAAAGAGACACTTAACCATTAATCACAAACCTGAGTTACGTTGTATTAACGCTGCAACAATTAATATACTATTCATTTATCTTTAAAGTGATTTTTCATGCAAAAAAAATGCAGAT